TTGTTAATACATAGAAAATTTGGCAACACCCCTTTAAGCCAATATTTTCTAAGACAAATATTTAAAAATATCAGGCATTCGAATTCCTATGCACCCCGAATACCCATTCTTAAAACTTTATAAGCTCTTCACTAGATGAGTATATTTTCTTGAATATTACAATAACAGATGTCGGGTGTTGATGATTGAGGAATTGGATCTTGGAAGAAGCTCATGGGTCCTGATATTTTATTCATCGGGTGTCTCAAAAATTTACCGTGACCTTCAAAGCGTTTATTGGTTGGAAAGTTTGAAAGGGACATAGAGGATTTTGTGGCTAGCTCTCTAAATTAATAATTAGTAATGGTCGAGCATCAAAAGTCGGGTGGTTTACTTCAAGAAATGTAAGTCCCCGCTTGAAGTGGGAAGGTATTAATATGGAATTTGTAGTGGGTTTTCCTCGGAAACCAAGGAAAAATTACTACATATATGTGGTTGTTGATAGGTTGACCGCTCACTTTATCCACATTAAGTCTACTTATTCGGCGAAGGATTATGCTACAATCTACATTAATGAGATTGTGATTCTTAATGGGATCCTTTTGTTTATCAAATCTAATAGAGGTTCACAATTCACTTCTCATTTTTTAATATCTTTCCAAAAAGGGTAAGGTACTCAAGTGAAGCTTAGCATTGATTTTCATCCTCAAACGGATGGTCAAGCGGAATGTACCATTCAAACCGTATAAGATATGTTAAGAGCTTGTGTAATTGATTTCAAACTAAATTGGAATGATCACTTGTTATTGATCGAGTTCTATTATAATAATAGCTACCATTAGACTATTGCCATGGATCCTTTTGAAGAACTCTATAGTAGGAGATCTACATCTCCGGTAGGGTGTTTTGGTCAGTGAGTCTTTACTCAATGGTTTAGAAATAACCTATGAAGCATTGGAGAAAGTTCAAATGAAAAGAGATAGACTTAAAGCAGTCTATAGTCGTAAAATGTCTTATGCCGAAAATAGGAGGAGAGACCTTGATTTTGAGGTGGGTGATAAGGTGTTGAGGATTCCACCTATGAAAGAGGTATTGAATCCAAAAGTCCATGACATTATATAAATCCTAAATGATAAACCACGACTTGAAAAACAGTTTCCAAGCGTAATTTAAAGTATTTATCCTAGTTAGGATGTTTGGAGTCAAAAGGTCATGAAACGTCAATAATGTACGGAGAATTACTAGTTTGCCTTGCCATGTTTCAGGAGGTTTTAAGAGTCAGAATTTAATGAAAATTGGTATAAAAAAAAGGTGTTAAACATATAAAAGAGTGATTTTAGGATTAAAACTTCCGGGTACGACTCCGCAAGTACCACTCCGATGACCCTTTCATTTGGCCCAAAAACTGTCAAGTTTACAATGTGTATCTACGAGCCAAGTGATGAGCCGTCGATTGATCAACGCTCCGTTGATGAATTCTCAGGTTGACATTCAGTCAATTTTACAATATTTTCCAAAATACCAATCTCTGACACAAACAAAGGTTGCTAGCACGAGCAATTGTTGTGTATATCGACTATACATCAAGGTCTCGTAGTTTAGGGGTCAAGTTGATTGTCCAACTTTTACTTAATTAACTTATTTAGTAAGTTTTTAGGTGATTATTTAAGGGTTAAGGGGTGGTTGATTAAGTTATTTGAGGGTCTATATAATATCTAAACCTCATCAAACTAACCTAAACCTTATAATTCCCAAACCCATTTCTCTCCAATTTCTCTCTACTTTATCTCTTCTAAAGACCGGCCATTGAAGACAAAGGTCAATTTTTACTAGGACTCTAAGATTTGTATTTTATCAAACAATTATCAAGGAATCTTAAGGTATGAAATCTATTCACTCTTTGGAACCCTTTCACCAAGAGTCTCCTTCAAAATATGATTTCTATGTTCTTCAAAATATGGGTTTTCTTCCAATTTCGTATTTGATCTTTCAAACTGGTTAGGTGATGAATTCAATTGATTATTATTGATATATTTTGATTTTTTAAGGGTTAATTTTTGTATTTCTTAGACTTTGAACTAGTTCTATGAAAGAATCTATGATTGAACCCTTTTTTCCCTTAACCCTAGGTTATTTAGGTTGATTTGATTACTGATGATACAGTTTACTTAGTTCTTCTATGAATTACTATTATATGATATTATTAAGTAAATTTATCGATGAATATTGTTTGATTGATGGTATGATTTTGAAGAGGACATATGAACGCTATGTGAAGACTTAATAATCTATAATCTTTTATTGCAATAATGATGGTTTATTCTTGATAATGGTATTCAATTGAAGTGTTACATATGATTAGGTTAAGATAATGATTATGATATTATCAATGTGTTTAAATGTCTTGACAATTCTAATTGTGTGATCATTCTAAGGGTATGAAGACACAAGGTTAAATATTAATCACTTGTGTGCCTTACTATGATATCAATATGATATATTGATCACACAAATTAAAGGTTGTTATGGAACGAAATTCTCATGTAATACCTAATGAGGTATTTAAAAGGGGTTAGTCTCCTATGTCCTATACTAAGATATGAATATTTATAAAGGCTTAATGACATTATGGGAGCAAACTTTATGGGTTAGTGGGCGGACAAGGAGAAGAGTGTTGATGTGGATTTGTCAAATCATATGGATTTGTTTAATCACATGATACTTACAATGTTGGCGGAATAACCGGCACATGTAAAGCCACACAAATCATTGTTCATTAATGCCTAAATAAATGGAAAATATGTTTGAATCATGCTTGACTAATACATAATTTCGTAATGGAGAAAAGGGATAGCAGCTATTGTATAAATTTGGTTACCAGCATACTTTGTTTAAAACCATCAATGTGCTCCCCACTACTGTCCAAGGTTTTGCTACTAAAGTGCCCATTGAGTTAGGAGAATGGAAGAGGTTGACAGACTTTACTATTGCGAACATATTTTTTTGGGGATAGATCTTAAATATTATGTTAACGCATTTATTTCACCGTGTCTCACCCAAATTCACATACACGATGCTGGATGTTCGTGTGATACCCCTTATTTGGGTGCCACAAAATTGAATAAACTTGTCCTCTATGCTGATTGTAAAGGTTTGAATAAACGGGAACAAACCTTTCTTTCTACCCTAGTGGGAGGCTTAGAAAACTCAATTGAGGCAGTAGATTTGAATACTTGTATTGAGTAGGACCTTTTTTATGAAAGGGATGTGATGCCTGAAGAACTTCTCCAATGGTTTCCACCATAAAGGAATGTTGATCGCAAATTGAATTGGTTCCTAGGTAAAGCCACCTGCCATGATGCTTTATCTTATGGAGCCCCATTTACTGCGCTTGTTTTGTTAAAAAAGAGGGATAAAGGGAAATTCAATTTGTGTAAGGATTATTGGGACTTCAACAAGGTCATAGTAAAGAAAAAATATCCTATTTTTTTGTTTGCTGATTTATTTGACAGGTTGGGGCAGGCTAAATTGTTCAAGAAAATTTACTGGAGGAAGGGTTATTACCATGATCAGATTTCAAAAGGATATTACCCAAATATAATATATGTTACTCATTATGGATCCATTTAGTTGCTGGTCATGCCTTACAGTTTGGGAAATGCTCCATCGACATTTTGTACAGTTATGAACAAATATTCCATCCCTTTTTGGATCAGTTTTTAGTTATATATGATATAAATGTATAGAAATAGTATAAAGGATCATATCGAGTACTTGTACGAAGTGTTCAAGGTCTTGCAAGAATATGATTTGTGCGTGAAGCAAGAAAAATGCAGTTGTCACACAACCCACTGTCTAGTTCCTTGGACACACTATTAGCCATCGTGAAATAAGGATGGACATTGATAAGGTGGAGGAAATTCATGATTGGGAGGTTCCAACAAAGGTACCCGAACTAGAATCATTTCTTGGCCTCACCAATTCTTATTGGTACTTCAAGTTTGGCTATTTGGTTATTGCAACTCTACTTACCGACATTCTGAAAAAGAGTCATTAGTGGTAGTGGTATAATTAGGGTCATGATGCGTTTGAAAAGCTTGAGGCAGCTATTACCGACGAGCTTGTTTTTGCGCTACCTGATTTCGCAAAGGCATTTAAAATTCACACTGACACATATGGTTTTGCTATTAGTGGTGTCCTTAGCAAGAGGACAACCCGACAGAATTTGAGAAAAGAAAATAGAATAATGTCAAAAGTCTCTATTGGGCACATGAGAAGACTATCATAGTCCATCGTCTAAGGACTTAACATCATTATGTGTTGGGTGCTCACTTTGTTGTTAAGAAGGAAATGTTAAAACAACTTATTTTCAATTCAAACAGAAGTTGACTTCAAAATAAACATGTTGCTAAGACTTCTTTGCTTAATTTGATTTCACTTTTAAGAATAAGTTGGGTAAGGCTAATGTATAGCCGACTAACTTAGTTGCAAGGATACTTTAGCTGCTATTGTTAGTTCAACTTGAAGCTATGTTATTGAGAATAATAAAGAGTGAATGCAACATGATCACGTGGAGAACACCTTCACGTTTTGTCCCTATAGGGTAAGACAAATAAGTTATTGGCGCAGAATGGTTTGTTGTAAACTATGGGCACACGTATGTACATTTCTAGGTGGTCAAACATTTGATGTTATTTGATTAAGAAAGGTCACAATACTTCATGTGCTTGTCACTTGGGGTAGAAAAAGAATTTGGCATTATTGGAATTCTCTTATCATTGAACTCATATGCGAGATGATTTTTTAAGATTATGCGCATACTTTCCTTGTTTGTCAACAAGATAAAGTTTTAAAAAAGGCATCTGTCGAACTTCTTGAACCGCTGCCTATCTCATTAAAATTATAGGTGTCATGACCGAGGAGAACCCCGTAGTGGTAACCGGAGTTTTCATCCTCATATATTCCATAAACAAGCCCTTGACATTCATCATCGAACTTCATAGATAGAAAAATACAGAAAATTAAAAACTTGACATTTGAAGTTCAAGTGTAGTTCTCATATATCGAAAATAGTCTACGTTATCTCACACATAACCAGTATCAAAAGGATAAAGAATAAAGCGTTGTCTTTAGACTAATCAAATATCAAGCACTAGATTGATAGGTTTCGTCCTCGAACATGAGGACTCTCAAACTTGGGGATCTTTACAAGCTTCTTGAATGTTTTGCCTTGAATCCCTACAATGATCCGGACCTACAATATTGTAGGAATAGAACAAAATACGGGTTATTACAAACACATGTACTAAGTATGAAGACATATGAAATTAAAACATTTAGAAACATGCTAAAAGGACATTTTGTTCAAAAGCATGCTAAGTCACTTTAAAAGCCTTTATGAACATCTCAATCATATAAAGTCCCCAATACAACAATAACCAATCATATTTATGTTAATGTTCAAGAATGCATCATAATGTATACGTAGTAAACATTTCATACTTTGAATGCATTTCATCAATATATAAAAATACCTTACAATCCCAGTCCAAGCCAACTACTACATTGCCTATGTGAAGCCCCATAACCCCACATAAACTATGTCCACTTGGAAAGAAACCATAAGCAATGTCTTTATATCATATCACTTCATAATAAGTATATTAAATCTGATACATGGCAATCGAAACCAATAACATGTATATCTAGTAAATGCAACATCATATGAGACGAACATTATATAGAATCAACATTATGCATTTCATTCATAACATATGTATATAGAGAAACCACCCTAGGAGTTCCCTCAAAGTCCCCATGTTCAATGTATAGATAAAGTGTCATACCCTTACCTATACTAGTACACCTCTCAAGTAATCCAAGTTATTATACATACATTTACTTATATTAATTCATTTTACGTTTGGAAAACTTCTTCATAACTGAAAATAGACCATGTGAGCTAGACATGGAATGTGGTGTCATCTCCTCACACCGAAAGGACGACATCTTACTTGTGTAGGTAAGACATATACATCATAATAGTGTCTACGTTGATCCACTATCTAGGTTTTCTATGAGGAACAATGTTAAGGAACTATGAGGTTGTTTCTAGAAAGTCTCTTCATGCTAATAAGCATTATGGTTTCCACCTCATGAGAATACATAATGTGATACTCCTTTCCTTTGGGATGGAGAACCTATCATTGTTAAGTTCACTCGGTGCTAAGCTAAATGTTCCCTTTTGAAGTGTCATAGAGTCTTTATTAAAATTAGTTTATATAATAGGTCCTAGGAGTCTAACCCATCATATATATTTTTCAAATATCATAGGTTGTAGAATGATAAAAACCTTTCGTCACAACACAACTGTATGTGAAAAATATCATCATCATAAACATAGTTAATAGATGCATGCAGGAATCACCTCCAATCCCTCATAATGATACACCTATCATTATCTAATAATGCATCACATTCATAATATAAGAAATTTCCTATGATACTCACATATTCGTACTTTAATTTAACAATAATCATCAAGAATAGATAAACATGATTGTTATAAAGTAGTAATGTACTTGAAGATATTACCATAATCCTCCAAGAGAGATCTTTAAAGACATCACCCTCAATTCAATGATATTTCCCCACCAATTTAATCATAATCATTATATGCTGGTAAAGTATAAAATAATACATTCAATTACATCTCCCTCAATCACAAACCAACCTAAATCACAAGTTAGGGTTAGGAGAATATGTGTGTTCATACACCTTTTTAGGGAACTAGGTAAAATTCATAGATATTATAAAAATCCACAAATAAAAAAGCATAATTAATAACTAATAAATGAATTAATACTAAAACATTCACTTTAGAAAGAACACCCACGAAATTGGATGAAAACAAGCTTTTTGAAGAAGATTGAAAACCAAACTTTGAAGAACCTAGTGGGGAAATGAGTCAAAAGAGTTAATAGAATCCATACCTTGAGAATCCTTAAATAATGTTGAATGAATTTCTTGATCTTGAAGCCCGGGAGAGAACTTGATCTTTTTCTTCAATGGGGATCTTTTAAGTAGTGAGAGAAACTAAAGAGGAGTGGGAGCTATTTGGTTTCGGGATTTATGAGGTGTAAGGTTAGTTTAATGATTTATTATAATTAAATAGTCCTTAACTAACTAATTATAAATATTCCTAGTCATTATTTAATTTGTTAATTAATTAATTGCCTATGTTACACATTAAAAAGAACTAAGTGAAACTAGATCTAAATATGTGTGTGATGAGGTCCTCAATTCCATAAATGATTTCCTTAGTCCATGTACGAATTTTGGCAAGGTATTGAGGTCAAACGTTTGCTAACCTCCATGATGTTTTGAAGGTGTGCCTTAGAAAGTACTTGTGTGTCCTCATGTTTTTTAGTGAGTCTACGTGTCCATTTTGATTGAAATTGACGTGGGATGTTCTTATGACTTAGAAATATATATATATATATATATATATATATATAGGGGTTTAAATTCCGGGTACGAACCCACCTAGGACCCAAGAGGGGCCCTAGAAGAGGACCCCATCCCTTTGGCAGGATGATGCCAAACAGTGACCAACGACGGCTGCAAGGGACGACCGTTGGTCAATTGACGTCCCATTGACCTTGGGTGAATACTGGCCCTTCAAGGATACCAAATCCTGCAAATAATGTAGGTTGTACCCCAATCTATGGACCCCCTATTAGGGGCGTAAACCCGGCAACATCCCATCAGTGAGGGCCGTAGGCTAGCCTACAAAAGCTGTCAAATTTCTGCCTAGGCTTGGGGTGTTTTGTAAATTCACCCAAAATCTTTTCTAAACAATGGATTATTATTTTAGTGTATTTTAAGTATAGTAAGAGGTTGCAAACACTAAGATCTAATTTTAGACTACATTTTCAAAAACCCAAAACACTTCCTTAAGAAAGACTCTCAAAACCCAATAGAATCTTGAAGTCAAGGAAGGGCTAGAAGGGGATGGTGGGGGATGTTTTTCATCATAGTTTGTGGGTTTCCATATCATTGACGTATTGTATTCATCCTTGAACTCTCTTCCATTCAAGGATCCATTTCTAAGGAATTGCAAAAAAAGTTCTTCAAGTCCTAACTTCTTCTATCTGTAACTTTAAGTATGGGTGTTGCATAAAATTTTATACAGAATTAAAATATGTTAATTATAATGTTAGTTAGTGATTTTAATGCTAAAACTTCAATGAAACCATGTTATATAATTTTATAAACTTTTGATTTATGAAATGGCTCTAATGAACGTTATTTGATAATGTTAGAGTTCTAGTTTCTTTATGGTTCTATTGTTACTTAGCTACTGTCTTAAGGGCTATTTTATGCTTTATTATTTAGGATTTTATAATAGGTGGTAAAATTTTTGATAAATAGTAAGTTGGTTATATTGTTTAGCTATTTTTATGAAATGCTCTTGAGTGGTATGGTCCATCTTTAACAATGGTGTTTACTTGAAATATATGAATGTGAAACTACTTGTGTATTGTGAATAAGGTCATGAAGGCATATTATGTGAAATAGATGATAATGATGATGTTCATGTTGATGTGCTTTATCACACTTGTTATGTGAAGTATGCTAGAGATTATGTCTAAATGAAGTATATGTTTGTATGAAGCATATTAAATTATGTAATATCATGAATGAAGGAGTAACCATGTTTAGAAGTAAATGTTATGAAAATGGTGATTACGTGAAAGATGTGCTCCCATGTAATCACACATTCACACTTTGAATGAATTAATTAATGAAGCTAACGAATGTGAATAAAAATGAGAGTTTTGGGGTTAACAGTCTTCATGAGTTTAGATGAAGCATTTAGTATCAACATCCATATTCCAAACACCTTTCTAAGATAGTTTGGATGTTGAATATCCTTTGTGAGTTGAGATATGGCATTCCAATGTAACCTCTAGGGATACATAGCCTTCCAGAGTTGAGATGTAGTGCTAATTATCTATCCCTTCACCTACAGTAATAAATGTTTAAGACTCCATAGTGTAGTTATGCCTAGAACCGAGAGAATATTTGTCACGACCCAAACCGGGCCGCGACTGGCACCCACACTTACCCTCCTATGTGAGCGAACCAACCAATCTAAACCTTAACATTTCAATATAATATCAACAGAAAGTAATGCGGAAGAGTTAAACTCATTAAATAAAGACCAATTGATTAACTTCTAAAATTCAACATCTATTATTCCGCCAAATCTTGAAGTCATCATCACAAGAACATCTACGATCGAATGACTAAACTAAGAGTATTCTAAAAGCTAAAAAAAATACATAAGAAGCTAGTCCATGCTGGAAGTTCAACGCATCAAGACTTGAAGAAGAAGATCCAGTCCAAGCTAGAAGCATTAGCTCACCCTGAATTTCCGATGTAGTAAGACTGGCTTGAATTAATTTTGAGTTGAAGACGATGGCACGTTTGCTGCACTCCACAAATAACAAGAAGAAAATATAAAAGTAGGGGTCAGTACAAAACACGGGTACTGAGTAGATATCATCGGCCAACTCAAAATAGAAAACAATATATACCAAGTAATATCATAAAATCAACTATGATACTCAACATGTAGCAACAACAAGCACTATATCATTAACAATTACCATCAAGTTCACACATGAGGACTCAAGCCTCAATACCATACTCATTTGGGAATCATGTTCATTAGATTTAGTATATTAACCTCTTTCAAGATTCATTATCTTTATTTCTCTTGTGTCGGCACGTGACACTCCGCTCCCTCATATTCATTAATCCTCTTGTGTCGGTACGTGACACTCCGATCCTCTAAATCTACGTGTCGGTTCGTGACACCCGATCCCCTAAATCTACGTGTCGGTTCGTGACACCCGATCCCCTAAATCTACGTGTCGGTTCGTGACACCCGATCCCCTAAATCTACGTGTCGGTTCGTGACACCCGATCCCCTAATTCTACGTGTCGGTTCGTGACACCCGATCCTTTAATTCTACGTGTCGGTTCGTGATACCCGATTCCCTAAATCTACGTGTTGGTTTGTGACACCCGATCCCCAAATTCTACGTGTCGGTTCGTGACACCCGATCCCCTAATTGTACGTGTCGGTTCGTGACACCCGATCCCCTAATTCTACGTGTCGGTTCGTGATACCCGATTCCCTAAATCTACGTGTTGGTTCGTGACACCCGATCCCCTAATTCTACGTGTCGGTTCGTGACACCCGATCCTCTAATCTCATTCTATCAACTCATCAAGCCTTCTCCCTTACCAAGGCATCATCAATCTCATCAAAAGGTTCATCAAGCCTTCTCCCTTACCAAGGCATCATCGTTAAAAAGAGATTAGGTTTTTATCAAGATTTGGGATTCAATAACTTCATCATGCTTAATATAATAACAATTATATAATCATGTTCATGCATGCATACAATTAAGCACATAGCAGGGTTTACAATACTATCAATATATATCATTCTCTATTAAGAGTTTACTATGAAAGCATGAAAACCATAACCTACCTCCGCAAAAGAATTGAAATCAAGCAAGTTATTCCTCAAAGCTTGGTGCTTTCCTCTTCTCTCGATCGTTTCTCTCTCTCCCTTCTTGTTCTTTCTATTTTCTTATTCAAACCCTCTTTCTTTTACCCTAATTAGTATATAATTAAGAATAAAAGATGGAAATAATACCCCACTAATTAACTTAAGGTTACCTCTTTTAACCCCCAAGAATTTGAGTTATTAATATAAACCCACGAACTTTATAATTAAGGCAAGAATAGTCAAAAACGTCCCTTAAAACTTAACCAGAAATCCGACTCCAACTGGGATTACGGAAGCTGTGACGGGCCGTCGCGCCTGCGACGGTCCGTCCTGCTGTCGGTCGCATAGTTCAGAAACTTGATTTTGGGTGAATGGCCTTTGACGGTCCGTCACACCTGTGACGATCCGTCCTGCCACTCCGTTACGAAGTTCAGAGAGTCGATTTTCAGTACCAAATTTCAGATTTTCTAAGTGTTTTGAAACGAGACCCTGCGACGTTCCGTCGTGCCCATGACGGTCCGTCGTTGGGTGCGTCACCTCAGCCTATTTTTCTAGAATAAAATCTTCTGCTCAAAACGACTAAACAGGTTGTTACAATAGATACCAATTTACCCATCGTTCGTTCCCGAACGATCGAAAGAAGGAAAACAAAGGCAAAAAGGAGTACCTGAATCTGTAAACAAATGTGGGTATTTTTCTCGCATAACCGCCTCCTTCTCCCATGTGGCTTCTTCAACTGGTCGATTCTTCCATTGCACCTTGATGGATGCAATCTCTCTTGACCTCAACTTGCGAACTTCTCTATCTAAAATAGCAACAGGCTCCTCCTCATAAGACAAGTTCTCATCAAGCAAAACTGAATCCCAACGGATAATGTAGTTTCCATCCCCATGGTATCTTTTCAACATCGACACATGGAATACCGGATGTACTCCGGACAGCCCTGGATGCAAGGCTAACTCATAAGCCACCTCTCCTACTCGCATAAGTACTTCAAATGGTCCAATGTACCTTGGACATAGTTTACCCCTTTTACCAAACCGCATCACCCCTTTCATTGGTGAAACTTTCAACAAGACTTGTTCACCCTCCATGAACTCTAAGTCTCTAAACTTTCGATCTGCATATTTTTTTTGTCTACTTTGCGCCACTAGAAGCTTTTCTTGAATAGACTTCACTTTCTCTATCGAATACCTCAAAAGGTCAGTACCCCAAGGCCTAACCTCAAATGCATCAAACCAACCAATGGGAGACCTACATTTCCTACCATACAACGCTTCAAATGGAGCCATATCAATGCTTGAGTGATAGCTATTATTTTATGAAAACTCCACTAAGGGTAAGAAGCTATCCCAATGGCCACCAAACTCTATCACACATGCACGAAGCATATCTTCCTACACTTGAATCGTTCGCTCAGACTGACCATCGGTCTGGGGATGGAACAGAGTACTAAGGTCCAAC